TGTGAATCGTCTAAATTCCGGATTATAAACCCGGTATTTTTCTGGATAGAACATTTTCTGTAGTAATACGAAAAACAAAAAAGAGGACCAAGCTTCAAAGAATTGATGCGCCTGGTGTCCTCTAATTAACCTTGAACGGATTATGAAGAACTATTGCATAACCCTTCGCCATTAACTATCAAAATAAACCTGGAAAACATACAAATAGTTAGTTATTCCTCAACGTGACACCTCAGTGGTTTGTCTGTCATATACAAATACTTCGTTTTGTTGCACCAGGATGACGGTGACGGATAAATTCTCAAGAACATGGTGGCTACTCATGAATACAACGGATACAACGGATAATCTTAAAGGTAACAACCCGGAAGAATGCACGCCTCGTTTACGTAGATTATTTATTTGGGTCAAAAGCAAACAAAGCTTGAACTGAAAAGCTACTCGCTGTTTACGTGTGTAGATTTGATTGAGACTCTGAGATTGAGATTCTGAATGTGTGCAACTCGTCATACAGTATTCAGATAGCTGGCTAAATTACTGGAGCCGTTCAAACTGGAATAGTAAAATACAACGTATTTTGTCAACAGTATTCATTACTTAAACTTAACCTTTCGGACCATACTTCTTCCTTAACTAATATTTCTATCGGTGAACTGCTCGAATACCTGCGTGATTATGTAAAAATAATAGCTATGCTGAGATAGGTCATTCTTGAGAAATCTGAAATACCTTCAAGTACGCACACACAACGTTCAATTTAAGTTCAACGATCGGAACTATCGATAAAAATGGTATAACCATGGAATCAACGCTAGGACCGTTATTTGTTGGTCTGTTTATGGTCAAATTTATAAATAACCAACGTAAATCGTCCATTCAGGATTGCGCGCTATACACACGATATGCGCAATCAACACGACCTCAGGAACAAACGAGATTTTGAACAAGTTCACACAAATACTTGAAAAGTAAATTCACTTTAGAAGTGGAAGTCAGCAAAGGAGTAGAATTTCTAGATGTCTGTTGGAGTCCTTGATCGGATGGCTCAGTAAACTATCAGTGCATAGAAAGATGACTTGGACGGATCGAAAAATCCATTTTCGCAGCATTGTACAGTGTAACGTGAATTCGATGCGCCGATTAGCAGATAAAACATGGAACGCTTTTATTGTATACACAACAGAGGATGAGCTCTAATTCGTGGAAACACTCTTCACGTACAATGTTTATCCGAAACGACTGGGCAGTGAGGTGCAACTGGTATACTTTGTTTTTCATCAGCAGAGATAGTTCTAATGAGAATATTTGTGCAGTCAGTAGGACCTTGTATACAGCAAAGCTCAATTATTCAATACCCTTCAAACCAACTATGCGTTTGAGTCTTGAAGGACATAGTTCCTGATTCTGCCGTCTTACCCCTGTCTGCTTATGTACATATTACTGTGGGAAAACGTACAAAGATCACATGATCGAATGATTGTAGGACCACAACCCCTTTTAACACTGACACGCTTAGGTTGCCCAGTAGTGCATTGGTTTCACAACTAGAGGAAACAAACTACACTGTAAACGCGACCGAAGTGTTCCGCCCGCTGTATAGGGTTTTTGGTCCACTATCAAGGCAGTTTCGTTGTCTAATGCTTTCCGCAGCGAACGCGGTAGGAACTCTCCTGCACAATCCCTCTTCATGTACCCAAAATAATTTGTGAGGGCGCCTAATCGTCTATGTCCCTCCAACTACTCCTTTCTTAATGATCGGGTGAACTAACAAACAATTTTGTGAACACTGTCATTCACATATCCGATCTCACGATATAAGTAACCCCCGAAAATCGGTGATGTTAATTCACCCTCTTGAAAATCAGTTGATGTTTTCACTATTGATAAACATAATTATTGATTGGCATAATCGCGAATCAGTGAAAACGCTCTTGTTCAGCACTTAGGTTGGTCAAATTGTGGCTTTGAGGAAGTTCCTCACACTTCATTTTATCCAAACTTCACAAGCAGCGACGATGTTACCTCGGCTGGTAATGAAACGTTTGTGAACATTTTACCAAGCTCGGCGAACAGGCGGGATGGAATTTAGTTCACCCGACCTACGGGAACCGATTTTACATACTTTATCCAAACAGATCATTTTTGATTCGAAGTAAAGTTCACTGTAAACTAAAGCACCTGTGGGAAATAAAATTCTCCAACATGCTTCCATTTTTCCAGGTGCTGGCCGCGAATAACTTTTAAGATGCAATCCAAAGAATCTTGAGCCGAATGAGACTCGACGAGATCGGAAAGATCAAACGGTTTTTCAAATTACGTAAACTTGTCTTTGAATCATTGAATGGGGATATAACTAGGGTTGTACCCACAAGTGTGCATATGAAGAGCTATTTCCACCGAAGTAGCTGTTTCATTCAATCGCCCCAATAGGTAAACTTTAACAGAAATGCGGGATTTATCTACAAGGAATCTGCACCAACCTCAATTATGTAAAGAGAAACCCAATAATTTTCTTTTGCAAGCTGTATTCCGATTCATAATCGAGCAATAAACCTGTCTAGTTCACTTTACCATAAATCGCATCCTTCCATTGCACTTGAACACCATTCGATCTGATAAGTAGTTTGCATTCATAATTAAGCAACATCCGAATCTCGTGAAGCTGTCTGAATGAGGATTACGGACATTCCCTGTTGAGTTGCGCAACGAACCATCCTAAGACGGTATAGTCCCCTCGAAAATTGGTAACCACATATATGTTTTGATGCCGGCAGGTGTGTGGCAAGATTTTCAGCATTTTACGTTTAATACAAAGGTATGCGTTGAAAAATAAGGTCGTTCTCTGACGTGCACCCATTCAGTTTGCATAACTCTCAATCTCCCGTTACAAGATGCTGATGCGTTCTCAACAAAACTTGGGTAAGTTATGATTTGCATTATGTCGAATTAACATAAGATCACGAAATAAGCCCATTGATTACTTACACACAACGTAGACAAACATATGTTTTCGGTGAATAGTTATGAGCTTTATGCGCAGATGTGCCCGCAGGTCAGGCGGTGGTGCAGTCGTTTAGTCGCTATCACTGGCGTGCCGTGGACTCCATGGTTCTGAGTTCTAAACCCGCCACCGCTGCTCAACTTTGATGGTGGACATCTCTGTTGTCGTTCGGTTCAATAGCACGCCTAACACAGCAAGGCTCTCATATGGCTGACCACTGCAAGCCCGGTTTTCATCACCAAGTAGCAGCTCCTATCGATTTTGGGGTTTACCTTGTCTGCTGTATACCATACAAATGTGTGACAATAAGATACCAATAAGATGACTCATATCAAAGGAAAAAAAATTCTACGGTTGATTTGCTTTGTGATAAAGTGTAGAAAATATATAAAAACGATTTCTAGGGGCTGGTCTTTCAGTTGAAACTCAAACCAGCAGCATAGCAACAGTTACACAGCACCATATCGATACAATGTAAAAATCAAAGTCCAATCAATGCAAGATGCGCATATTGTCATGTTTTGGACAAACCCGTTTAGTTCAGATGCGCCAGCATGTTCAAAACTGATAGAATGAAACACTCACGTTTAATGCAGAGCAACTTCGAGGTGGGGCTTGTGACCACAAAGCCAATTGTCCTATAGTAATCAAACACACTAAGTTGATCGAACTCAGTGTTTACATTTATAGGTTTAAAAATGTTAAACACGGCACTTATTCAACAACCAAAATTATATGGCTTCTTTCCGAAAGGCAATCCTTCCTCTCAACAAATGTTTGTAATCGTTTTAAAGGGAATTTGCAATAAGAGATTGATACTCGTCATGGAGACAAGAAAACGGAGAGAGTTGAAACTGACATGTGTAAACTTCCCTTCTGTGCACAAAAGAACGATTCAACAATCAAGTTCACGTTGAATTCATATATATAGCGATGGGGATAGCTATTCACTCACTTACACAAGCTGATTGAAAACTAGGGACTCGAACGGAAAAAACACCTGGTGATGATTCGCGTTCGTCTGAGGTTCCAACAGCTTGTCATGCTCAGCATGCTATGGTACGCAATCTCCGGTTATGGTTTGCCCTGGCAAAATCCCGGCTGTAGGAGACAATGGATTCAACAACCCGGCCAACCCATCAACGTGATGCCCGGGAATACGATTTCCGCCATTATGTTTTACTCCCTATGTACTTTAAAGGGTACTCTCTATTCGGCCACCACTTGCAGTGTTGTAAGTCATTTTCAATTAGTTTTATGGTTCACTCCAACAATTTACTTTCGAAGCTTGAATGATCATTTTGATCAGTTACCAGTATAATACATTGCAAGTAGGCATGGTGACTACGTGCTCAAATGATTACTCCAGGCCAAATGGCCACGAGCCTCAATACGTCTACGTCAGTGCCTGATGAAACTAGCAGAAGCAGAAGGTTTCGTGAAAACTGACAAACACCAGCGGACAGTTACTTCGTTCTGCTGTGGAATCTCCAGTAACATGTATCTTTGTGTCCTTGGTTCGCATCTAAACGTATACCTAACTGTAGCTAGTTAAAACTCACCCCGGGACCATTCAATCAACCAAAATTGAAGTATTTTTGCTTGTCCATCATCTTCCCTGACTTGGAGGATTGCACAGCGAGTGAAAGTATATTGTTGTGGATAATTTTACGTTCTTTTTTCGAATTTTGCATGGAAGTGCATGAAAAACAAACAAATCAAAAATAATTTGGCATGAGTTCATATTTTGTCTTTAATTTCGGGGAATAATGGCAAATCAAAATAGAGAATATTAGCATTACACAATGTGCATCGTGAATGGATTGATTCGCATTCAGAAGTCAGACACGTGAAGAACGAGATCAGAATTGAGTTGTGAGTGCGTGTGTTTGTGCGCGCATGCTGTTTGCCACTTCAATGCGATGAGAAATAACACACAAATGTGATTCATTGTGCTGAAAGTGGGCGAACTAGGTCACAAGACGGGGCGATCTGTAAGTCAGGGTGGACAAAATCCGGGACCATTTGGTGGTTCCGCGTCCCAACCTCGACTAAAAGAGAACACCGAATGGGATAGAAAGTAAACGTGGCAAAATGGAACTGCTATTTGCCCTTGTTGTTTCCTTTTCAAAACTGTCTACTTAAGAGTAGTTGATTTGAAAATGTGGCGAATTCGGTCAAATAGAGGGAAATTGGAGCGCGATGTGAAAAGTTAGGAACAGCTGAACTTCGGTTTCCACTTGATCATGTTTCATCAGCATTGCGACCAACGTGAGGATCGAACGCGAGATCCCATAGGGTAGAAAGTAAGCATACCACCCACTTGATCACGAGACAGATTATCAGACCCAACCAGATAGAAATAGATTTCCAGTACCTCATTGGTTTTAGGTCAGCGCTCCGTTTGCTCTAATTCCCTACGCAATTATTTTCGTAATTACATGAACAATGGGTTGGTTTTGGTTTATTCATTCATTTGATCCCTTGTTCGTTTAGCTATATTTCCAGGTGTCTATCGGCTAAAGAAACTGAATTAAAGAGTGCGTTTGTCAAACTGACAACAACGTCATTACGCAGACCATGGATAGATGCAATATCCTCAGCATCCAATGAACATTAGATTGACTCAGATTCGAGATATTGTTGTACACTGTTTTTGTGAACAAACCGGAGTATTACGCGCTATAGCTTCCTCTTAGTGACTTCACATTCCGGAACTAGAGAGCAGTAAATGGCCTGACAGTTGCGTGCAACCATCTGGATGTAACAGCGAACAAATGTGGAAAGAAAGATAAACTATGTGGAGGAACTCACTTCACCATTTGGCATCTGATATCGCTTAGTCTCCGGGCAAATTCGGCCAAACTGACATTACCGGAAGACCATAACCTTTCAGCAGTTGGAATACCCCTTGGCCTGGATTTCGCAAACAGAAAACATTCGAATGAAATAATTCTTATGCTATTTATGAGACAATTTCGAGTTCCGGTGTGTTACAAATACGCAATCTGACTTTGTTAGCAAGGAATTGATCCATCTTCATCCATTTTGACAAGGTGGAGTCAAAGGCGAAGATATGCGGGGCTTTTGAATTCGGCTGCACCATTTAGCTCGAAAGCCATATTTACACTTTTTGTGGATTTATTCGTCATAATATCTCATCGGTATCAATTTCAAGGACACCAAATGCTATCCTACACTAGCACGTTTATGAAATCTTTGTCTCATCGCCAGAAACGCACATTTTGTGAAATATTCCAACAATGTGAGAAATAAGTTCAAGCGGATGATCAAAACACAAAACGGCAGAAGGAGAAAACATCGAGCAGGTTGGCAAGTCGCTCTCAGACAGTGCAGTACCAGTCAAATGCAAATTCCGCGCGTTCTAACAAACAATGTCCGTTCTCTGTCGAGAAAAGTCGAGGAAGTAGTAGACGTCACACGGAAAAAGAAGTACAAAAACCTAGGAATTATTATGCCACAGGAATCGTGGCTACACGAAGAAATCCCCAGTGAAATTGTACAATGGGATGGATATAAATTGTATCGAGTTTACCGTCCTACGAGTGTCCGTAAACTAGGTGGTGTTACAAGTTACGATAGTGACAACTGCAGTAAATCAACCGCCATCATCTACGAATACTCAACGGATGAAATCAGTTGTGATGTCATCGAATGTAAGCCCTGTTTTTTAAGTGGTTTTCATTCCATACCTCTTGGAAACTTTTACCTGTCACCCACAATACCAGTGGCTGACATAAATAGCTTTTCTGACATTGTTCTACCTCCACGAAATCAAAAACATGTAACTCCTTGAGTATATTTGTTGGTGATTTCAACAAACATGATGCAACATTCCTCACCACACTGGGTCTACAAAATTTGGTACATTTTCCTATCAGACTCAATTCACAACTTGATTTCGTTTTTACAAACAGACCGCAATTTTTCGAAGTCCAGAAATCTGCTTCTGTGAGCAGTTCTGATGATTGTATCTTAAAAGTATATCCCACTTTATACAGTAAAACTAACCAAGACATTTTTAAGAAGGCCTTCCGAGATAGTGAGTCAAATAAATTGTTCATCAGAGAACCTAGAAAGGCTAAGATCCATGACTGCCACCACAGATTTTTCCATGTTTCCTGATCAGAACCCTTCTGTCCTCTGTGAACATGTTATGGACTACCTTATGTTGTGTTCTAACCAGTGTTGTCCACTGGGAACGGTCTTTATCCATTAACACAGATATTCATCACCGCTACTCAAGCGGCTACGCAGGCGAAAATAACAGGACTATAAATAAGGACAAAGAATCCATGTCAAGTGGCTTATAATTTTGATGAAAGCTGAAATAAATCGGTTGCACAAATTGTACATCGACACTATCCTGGGAAACTCTAGTTGTCGTGGCATGTGGAGGACTATCAACCGACTGTGTGGCAGTAGCAATAAACATAAAACGAAATTGTCGACGTTGAAAGACTAAATTCCGAATTAAGTCCAGTTATGCAGTGCACTGTCCTACCAGACTTAGTCAGCTTTACGCCAACACCAATTATCGAACACGCCACAGTACTTCAACACCTACTGAAAACAAAGTTGAATGAAGCACCTGGCCCGGATGAACTATCACCCGTGGTATGTGCGGACACTCTTTCAGTCCCTTGTCCAAAATGCGCAAAGACTTTCTGATAAGCGGGAAAATCCCTGATATTTGCAGACTGGCCAAGATAACTGCCGTTCCTAAAAAAGAACCTGGGAAGTATCGTCACATTTCCTGCAGGTCACTCATGCTCAAATTATCTGAGAGATGCTTATTACCGTGGGTTGTTACTGAGTCTGCCGAAGACGATTTACATCAATTTGCATATCGTTCTTCGCGCTCAACACTTGATGCCGTTGCATACCTTGTTTATTCAATAATTTCAGCACTGGATAAGAAAAGTAAGACCGTCAGAATGGTGTTCTGAGACTACAAAAACGCATTCGGCAATCTTGATCAATTGGTATTGCTCAACCTGATTGCCGAAAGTGGTATTAATCCGAAGGTTAGCAGATTGATCCGCGACTATTTCACAAACAGAAGACAATTCACGTGCCTCAACGGTAAAAAATCCACCACTCGCCCAGTTACTTCTGGAGCAATATTTTACCCATTCTTCTTTTCAATGTATGTCAAACAATTTCCCATTCCTGCTGCATTCATTGCCTGTAAATACGCAGATGGCTTTGGTTTACGTTGCAACGCATCCACCTCTGACGAGGTTTCAGAAATTCAAAGCAAGCCAAACGGCGTTGTTACTTGGTCCTTGTCCCGTTCTCTCCCATTGGATGACTCTAAATGTCAGGTTGTTGTGTTTTCCCTCTTGGCCGATGTACCATATTCGGCCCTCACAGATAGATTCCTCAGCCTTTCTGCTAATCAACAAATCGCACCGAAATCAGCGATAGTAAATAAAATGCCTTGACGTCACCCTATCACACAATTTATCATGGTCACTGCATGTTCAAAACGCATTCTGTAAAGTTAGAAAGCTTCCATATTTCTCACTCCGATTGAGATTACTTTCTGTTCCCCATAAGCTGATTGTTAGGTTTGTGAATGCATGCGTGGCTGTATTGCTCCCCAGTGATTTTTCCCGGTATGTTGAAGAAAGACTTTTATTTACTGGCGAGATCTCTGAAACACATCTCTAAATGTAGTGGCATTGTCAGGGGTAAACTCGCCGATTCCATCGTAGACATACAGACACAAACATGCGAAACTTTCAGTGCCCAAATTCTCTCAGACACAGCACCCATTACACAACGAATTTTCAAAGCTGTATCTACATCATCCATACAATCACGGTTTAAACTTTTATTTGCACGTACCTCTGGTTACCGTAATGCTGTTCTATCATATCTAGCACGTCTACTTATTGACAAGGAGAAAATTTCCACCGAATTGCGCAAATGCTTACTTCATTGACAAACACAATCTACTGCTTTCATTTTCATTATGTATGATTTTGTAAATTTGAATCCACAAATATGATGTTAATGCTGAAAATTCACCCATCCGGGTGCATAAAGCTACCACTAACTTGACTTGACTTAAAAATGAAGCTTGATTGGAGTGGTCAGTCGGACCGCTGAAGACATCACCTAGTGCTGATGACGATGCGTTGGCCAAGCTCGGAGAACAGGCAAAAACCAACTGAATCGTGTTTGTAAGTATGGAAAATATCCTCACATAAGGCCGAGAGAAACCGATTTAAAACTATGGTTAGTTTGAAAGTGGGTTCCAAATTCAATGATCCTTTGAATTGGTGTTCTTGATCCAAACAATCTGCTGCAGAGCGGAATCGAATTGGAAAGCATTAGTAAACCCCGAGGCTATTTCCGTGACAAAGGTGTGAACGAAGTACAAGTTTTAGATTTCCTTATACACCAAAAGTCGGATGCGTTTTTTTCTTTAAACAACACACTAGAATTTGATAGATATCAGTTTGATCTGTGGTTTGCTGCGGAACGGGCAAAGGGTTTCTATTATGTTCGACAGTGTACATAGAATCCAAACGTAGTCGTGGAAAGAAACATCGAAACTCTTGAGAACGTGATTCAATCTACGTCTGGTGAATTATCGAACTCTCGTCTTAAGAGAATAAACAATTTTATAAACTGTGAACCTTCAAGTGATTTACTGATATGTTTCGAGACTCGAACATCCAAAGCTTACTTGTTTCTGCAGCAAAGATTCAATCAAAAGCATAAACCTAATTTCCTTACCTAAAATGTGTGAATTACTTACAATCATCTAGGTTGACGTTGGCTCACGCGCAACCTCAGAAGCCTAAATCGATTGACTTCGAGGTTTTTTGGGCTAAAAAACTAGCCCATAATAATGTGGTCCTTTAAATATATTTGATCACAATTTACCTTGATAACAAGCGTCATTTTTGGCGTTTCCCACTGAAACTGACTGAATGATCATTGCTACTCGAGAATCGAAAGTGCACTTGACAGAGTCCTAAACTCTGTTAAGGGTAAAGTGAAAAGTGAAGTATCATCAGAGTGCAAAGAATCACGGGTTAGTGTTCCTTATGAGTAAAAATGAAGACCAATCTAATACAGCAAAATGAACAATAATCGGAGGCATAGATACTGAATGTACTGAATGTACGATACCATGTTTAGAGACAGATATCACGAGAAGGGATTAAACATGGTCGCAAATTGGTGTCACGATCGCTTCTGTCGAGCGGATTTATTGGTGCGACTGAATCAGTAAAAGTCCAGACCGTTTGGGAAATCTGTTCTGCTCATATTTTTTTCAACTCCAATTGAAACCATAGCAACCTTAAGTGAACCGGTTGTGAATTCAAGTGAATCTACCAATTGCAATCAACCAGGAATCCGACAAGGTGACTGGTGTGTCGCCCGACACAACCGCAAACTATTGAACAGGATCTATTACAACGTCCGTCCAGTCGGAATGAAGTGATTTCACAATGAATCAAGAAAAGTACATTTTGATTGAATTACCAAGTGAGCATGAAGGTTTCGGTAGGATGAGGTCTAACTGCTTACCCTCCCCAAAACTGTCGATAGAGAGAGAGGTTTAGGCGAGAATGAGCGAATCCGGCGGTAACTGTTGATTGGATGCGAAAGCAAGTTACGTAAACGTGGATCGATAATCAAGGGAGATGGTGCGTTTATCACGTCCTTACCATTACCATCGTAAGTGGAACGCAACAGTCGGTCCGGAAATGGCGGTGAAATAACCCAGTCAACATTTGGTCTCGTTATTCGTGATCATTTTTTCCCCGTATACGAGTATCGTTGATCAGCATCCTGTCAACGGTACCTATCGATACCAATGGGATGCAGGCAATCACATTTGGTTCGGAAGAAACGATTAACTTTGAGGAAACCTCGACCCCAATGGATTTTACTCACTTGCTCATTGTGATTCCGAACTGAAGTTGCTTAAGCAACGATTCGTATTGTCATTATACACGGCTCATTGGGGTGATAAACAAAAATTGTATTCGAATCTTTCTCCTAGACGAATAGCTTTGGTATAAATTTCCCTACTTCGCTTTGAGTACAAATGCAGATAAAATGCAATCACATACAAACACACACATGCACTTACCAAGCACGGCTAAACAGGTTGGTGTCGTCCACAAATTCCCCCCAAAGTGCTGCTTCTCCACCAAGTACGCGAGATTGTTCTTCCATGGTACCTATGAGTGGATAGTAGAGTGAAAATTACACTAGTGTTGAGTTCAGCATAATTTCCGTGGGATTATGTGTTGCGTGATTTGTTTAAATATAAACAATGAAAAGTCGAATATTCAAAACTTAAACCTGGGTTCAAAGTAACAAGCAAATATTAAAAGAAACCAGAAGAAACGAAATTTTCAGATTATTCAACTCGATTGAATTGAATTTCCACCTTCCCAGAAAGAAAAGCGGAATGCTTAAAATATGACTCGTTTTTATGCACACGGTTCCTTCGGATTGAGTGTTCTCAATGGTTCCTTAGGTCTGGAACCTATTATCCGTGAAATGGGTTTTGAGTTAGGGCAAATAAGGTAAAAGCTTATCTATTAACTTTATACCCCAGTGATTAACCATTAATGTGAACAAAAGTTCATCCCCCCATCCGACATCCACTATTCGGATAGTGTTCCTTGAGTCAAACCGATAGCCGCATTGCTTTTAAGTCTACATAACCAGTAGCGCATGTGTGTTTCAAGTGCCGTATGACCGTCGATGAGTTCTGGCATGCGCTAGAGGGTGACGCTCAGAAGGTGCTTTTAAATTTGTTTTTCTATGTCATCGGTGTAAATAAAGCCTAAGACCTTGTGCATCTGTCTCATCGCTGCAAAATGGATGCATAAAGATGTTGCTTTCTTGATCCGCGGTGTCCATTTAAACCCCGCACTCCATATGAATAGTTCCAAGTAACATGTTAAGAAATTAAGCACCCCCGATTGAGTATCTTAAAACAATTCACATCTCCTCAGTATAAGTGAAGGTATGCAAAAGCTCAATGTAAACCGAGAGAAGCAACTAATTAGGCTTCACAAAGATTTACTGTGTTATAAACTTTCGTTCACCATCATTGACCGATCCGTTGTATGTATGAATGCCATCTCATCAGCCATTGAGAAGATTAAATGAAATGTCAAAATTCCCTTTGAGATCGATACTACTCTACCCTACTACAATATAATGTACTAGAATTTCATTAAAGTGATTGAACTTGAATTGGCTCATCCACATCCCTCGTCAAACTTCGAACTTTGTATGTCGATTGTGAAAAGTTCAGTAGCCTCGGTGGGATTCGAACCCACGCATGNCATGCGTGGGTTCGAATCCCACCGAGGCTACTGAACTTTTCACAATCGACATACAAACTTCAAAACTGTCAATTAACTATTTAAACTTTGAACTGACGACATATTACGACTTTGTATTGTTCAACTGAACATTTGTCGTTCCAATGAGGTCACATTGGAGTTGGGAAACCGCGTTCAAGTAATGTTTAAAACAGATCATAGGAAAATGTGAAACTGGTACTGGTTTCTACCCTGTTGGAAGACGTTGCTGAATTCATCTAAAAAGTAAATTGAGATATAAAGGATGATTTTCACCGAAGTGCTCGACAAAAATCATCGCGGTTGTGTCTCGTTCAGAATCGATTGGATGACAGGCACGCTCACATATGATATGCAGTATGTGGATTTTGGACAATAGAATAGTTCTGAGTCACTCAAAGCCCGCCACTATTACAAATAGGACACGTTCTATAGGTTACGCAGTCTGATCACATTCGAACAGGTGAACTCTTTTATTGAACTATATTTCGAATCGTTTACCTTATTGGAAATTGTGGCTAATTTGCTGGCATAGATATAACAGCAGTGATAGACAGCAAAATTACCAAAGAATTATCACTCTTGGCATAATCCAAGCACTCACTCGAAAAAGCATGGTCGGAATAAAGTGAATACTGAAGAAAACAGAATGATGAAGCGTCAACAAGAAAGCGGAAAACAGGTCTAGTCAGAATGAACTAGTAAAACCTCTCGGTGGACTTACCATTGAAATTACCTGGATCACACAAATAGTATGGATGCCAATCAATCCCATACGAGATTATATCCAAGTACCAGCAGCTGGAGAGCAGAGCACGGTAACCTGCTCGGGTGATCTCCTTCATTTTCGGTCTCCAGTCCCCTGGTAGCCAAACTTGAAACACAGTTTGATTATCACCCTGAGAATGAGCAGAAGAAGATTGGAAAACAGATCCGGAAATGCGAAACGGTTAAAAGTCGTTGTTTTACGAAATAAGCGAGCTCTTTGCGTTCAGTCATTTAACGGTCTGCTATTTTGTCCACTAGGTCATCTAAGGTGTTTCTACACAAACATTTTGGATGAGACCAGGACGATTACTATCCATGATATGGTATATAAACGTAAACCAAAACCAACTTTATTTGTTCAAAAAGAAACCTCAAAGATGGTACGAGTTGTGATATCTGTTATAACGCGCTTGCAAACAAACGTTACGCTATGTCACGTGTAGGCAAACTATAACACGATCTGACCAGACGTTCCATTGTTAATAGGGTAATATACTTGTGTTAAATCTGGAATATCCCTGTTGAGACCCAATGAAGTCGAAACACGTCAAATGAGTGCTTCCTAGTTTTTCAGTTCGCGCTTCGTTTGCTCTATACATAACTAGATTTGCTACATAATCGAAGCAACCCTTACCCTGTATTCATGAAGCCCCAATGCAGCGATTGCTACTCAAGTTAATTAGATGCTTTACTCACCCCAATGAGATATTTGACCATCAAATCCCATGTTAAACGAGGAAGCAAATTTTAAGCGAAGTCAGATAGAATGGTTTAGGAAGGAACAACGTCTGCAGTCAACTAGGTACTTCCGTAACTCTGTGTGTTGACCATAGACGTTCGCTTTCAATTCCTGTCCCTACAAATAGGCCCAATCCCTGTCCTCCTTACACATTCTTACTTATCTTGTATGCATTATGAGTTTGGCAGCGATCAGTGAAGTTCAATTCATTGTATTATTCTGTACAATGATAATGATAATGATCAGCATTCAACAAGACCTGCAGTGCCAACCACTTCAGTAATTAAAGAATGACAGACTAACGGTAAATAAATGGGCAAGCGTGTAAAAGCTTGTACGTTTTGCATGTTGCTGAGATGGACAGGGTCTGTCCGTACGTGACGCATGATTGAGTGCTTGCTTCGGACAAAACATTTATGATATAATTGGTTTCGGAGGTTGAAATGCCTTGTTGTATTAAACGCAAACCGGTATGTGTGTGTGACTGAAATTGTTCGAGGTAATGAGGTTTAGCCAGAGTATACCTATTTAAATTAGGATGCGAGATGCCACTCGTACGTGAGATTGTCGTTAGTTATCTACGACTGAGTGGACAGTAGCTCAGTTACAAAGTGGTAAAAATTGCCCGGGGGAGATCGTATAACCGATCGGATAGAACGCAATTATATGCGAAGCGATTCTAGACAGATTGAGAAACATGTACATATTGCAATCTGGACACATGAAAAACGGAGTCGCTGCATTGAATAAACGTGTTTCCAACAAGAGAGTACAGCCTGGGAATGAAGTAATACCTGGGTGATTTACATTACAACCCGTATGAAAGCGCGGATCATCGACAAACAACTCATAACAGTTGCATTCTATCTCAAATAAGCATTTACCCTGAAAAAGTGAGAATAAATAGATACTACTGCAGTTTTAACGAAAGGAAGGAACGAAATAAAAGATTAAAAATGAGCACGTTCCACTTTCTTTATCTGGCTGTGAAGTGGGTGTGACATCATTGGTTTATTTATTCAAAGATTCAAAGATTTTTATGGGATAAACTTACAAGCTCATGCTTTTCTGGTCCCATAGTTTTGTGCGATGGAGCAATAAACAGTGATACATACAATTCTTCATGTAAAATGTCACGTGATACGTGCGTTTTCCACTGCTGTACGTAGCTTGTGTTGGAATGTAAGGTGTGCTAATGTTTCATCGAGCCTCAGTTTGAAAGACTCAATGCTTGGAGCACAGACGACGTAGGATGGTAGAGAGTTCCAGATCGAACACACTCTGACTGCGAATGACTGACGCCGACATTCCAAGCGGCATTTTGAGACCACTAGTTAAAATGGATGTCCTCTAAGATGAACGTTGGGTGATAATTTCAGAAGCGGGCGATACGGATGGCTTGGATTTTGCATTATTTGGTATGCCATAATCGTACCTCCTCTGATGCGCCGGTAGTGATTGGAATATAGCCTCAGTGACTTCAATCTCTCTGCGTATGAACACCCACCCAACCCCCTGATCATTTTGGTGGCCATCCTTTGTGGACGCTCCAGCATCTTGCAATCACGCTGTAGCCATGGATTCCACGCCTGGATAGCGTATTCTGTGAGTGGTCGAACGTATGCTGATAGTAGGTGGGGGAATAAAGCTGACTCAAACCGGCCGAAGACCCGCTTAAGCAAGCCGACATTCTTTACAGCTGCTTTGGACACCTTGTTGCAGTTGTGTGAGCAGCTTAAGTTTTCTTGAATAATGAAACCCAGGTCCTTCTCGCTTGTGGCGTGTGGCAGTTCAATAAAATATTTGTGCTAGATGGTGCATCACCGACGTAAAAAGAAAACACATCCCGGGATCAAAAAGAGAACCGCTGTGGGAGGTGAAGTGGGATCTACCGGTCAAGTAGTCTCTGGCCCATGCAGGCAATGGACAGGGAAGTGCAGCCGCTTGTCACGCAGAGAGTACTGTTGCAGTTAGACGAATTACCATGTTAAAGGAAACATACACGAAATACTTTACCGGAAATATAGGAATTAGACGAGTGAGAGAGTGAGAAGGGTAATACCGTCTGTAGTAGATCGTACACAGAAAGATCATTATCACTTAAGGTAATGGTGACTCATAAGGGGTAAATTGAGGAAAAATGGATCTGCAGGGCATGATTTGAAAAAATGTTAAACGTCTTTTTAGGCTTGGGGGTGTCGCGCAACCCTATCTAACCAATTGATAGTTTCTTTTCATTAATACGTCTACTATGTAATGAAGTGAGCGTGCTTACTTGCTCTTGTACACACTTTAACGATCAGCGGTTAACGTTAGTCGTGCCCAAGTGCCTCTTTAAGTTGAATGATCCTAAGTTCTGTCACCAATTTACTCTAGCTAAAACTCATCAGGATTTGCGAGATGAGGTTGAGTTATCAAGTGGGAACAGGGAAAGTTTCATACTGATTAAATCGTTAAAATATGATTCAGTTCTGTTAGCGTGTGGTGCACCCCCGTGGGTTGAACTTTCACTCGCAGAGCCACTTGAGAGTGTTCCTAAAATGGCTGCGATTAGAGATCCCGAGAAAGATATTGGTTGACAGTAGTGTTAGTTTATTTATACTAGACATGGTATGTACACATGTTACATAAGTAGGTGATGCGTGTTTAAATTAATACTCCCTCTAACTCCTGAGGTTTATTTTAAATGAAGAGAGACAAGCATCGTACAGCTGATAAGAGTATGTAGTCAACTTGTCACCATGGGTGAATATATCACAATCGTCCAACTGACAAAAGTCGTTGGTAGCAAATTCTCGTAGAGAAGGAAACCTGTCTCGTGACACATCCCATGGATTGATTATCTGGTAGTGTAAAGCGAATAAGTTCATCCAGTGTACATTTTCCATGAAAATAAAAAATATCATAACGGTTGGATAAAATGTTCATGGCAATTAAATGCCAGAGAGAGAAACAACTGGCGTTGAGATTTCATCCGCGAAATCAGAAAATTCACATATTGAGTCGGAAAGTGGGATGTAACCGCTGTATACTACAACGAAACAAAATTTACTCGGAAAGCATAGTTGGCATTCAATTGTAACACATAGTACTCATGATTTTTTATACTCACAACTACTTTGGAATAACTTGCATCAACTGGGGTACCCGAAGGCAAGGACACCGCCTTGGTTTCATTGATTGTCAGTGTGATCTAGGAATGCAGCTCAACTACACCTTTTCGCATTAAGCTTTAACCAAAAACAGGTAATGTATTAGCCTCGAAACGTAATTCTTTAGCCAAAACCTGCAGTGCGTTGGCCTCAAACCACAGGCCAGTCGCCTTGACAAACATTAATTCAGCCAAAACCCGCAATACTTTAGCCCCGATCCGCGGGCCTTCAGACTCAGTGCACAAATTTCAATCATATCGACACGAATAACGCGATCAAATTTGCAGCATAAGACCGCCATACCTCATTTCCGAATGTGAGTCGAGGCTAAGGCATTATGGACGTTGGCCGAAGCTCGACCTCAAAATGTTTAGAACATCGACCATGAGACTCTAAAAAAAATGATTTCAGTACCATGTTTATATACAGTTTAGAGAATTCTCCTTCGATCAAGTATGGAATCAAATTACGCTGAACACTATTCATTAAGTGCAGGGAATAAGAGATCATTTCTACAACAGAAATATTTGATTTTATCACAAAATACCATACACTGTTGTTCAATAGCAAATATCCAACGAATAGAACAAGTGCGAAAATATTTAAAATCACACCAACTTCGGTTCCTACTCACAAATTTGGGAAATTATACGGCTGAATTCAATAGGATCTGGTCGGATGTCTCAGGCTGATGCAATTCAAAATTATTTTAAGAAAAATTCATCGAATCAAATAGTTCTGAAATTTATTTTCTACTTGATTTGATCGAAATGAAAAGCGCTATCCATAATGAATAATGAGAACTGCCAACCAAAGCCGTTTTGGAAATTCCACAAAATTGACGAAATAGTATAAAGACGAACAAAAGGATCAATAAGTACGCGAAAATTTTCCGTTTATTTCTGCTTATTCACGCCGATATATCTGCGGTTTTCGGTTTGCACTTGCAGTCAGCTTACATTGGAAATGATTTTGTGTTGTTCGGGAACACTTACTCGGAAACCTCGATCGAACACTTCTTGCCAAGCAACCGGTGTGAAAGACTGCTTCGGTTTTTCGGTTAACTTCAGCATATCGATTATTCGTTCAAAGTAATATGTTTGTAACAACGAGTAGTTTTCACCAAATTTGTGCTCCTGCATAAATCGTCTAACGTCTGGATTCGAGGACCTGTGGTTTGTTGGATGGAATATNATTAACGATCCAATATATTCGCAGGTAATAATTCAAAGAATGAAATTAATTATTAATTAATTAAATAAAGTCTTCGAATGAAACGGATAATCAGAAAATTTAGCATGTAATTTTGGATAGAAATATCAACAAAAAACTCATCACCCTCGTTTTTCACTCTCAATATTACACTCGAGTGGTTTGGTCATCATAAACAGGTATGGGAATTTTCTCCTCCATGAAGACAGTAGAATGAATTCCAAAGGAAATGGCTACTCATAAGTAGTCAAACAAAGCGAAAAGAATTGATTCGGAAGGTGTGCCGTAAAGATTGAACTGGTGATTTTGTGGTGACAACCACTCAGTTTGGAGAAAAGTGTCAAGGTGAGAAAGGATGATACTGAATAACAATAGAATTCCAAATGTTCACATGTATACGCCTTCGTGGTCAAAAACTGTCGGACAGGCATTTTTAGTTGGAAAGTTGAAGCACTTCAAGTAATCATGATACTTATCTCATTCGCCAGTGTATTTCGCCATTATTTTACGGGACTCTTTAGTTCATTGAGCGACCTATGATAGCAGGACATTGAGCTGTTACACCAGAAGTCTTAAACAGTTAATAATCTGATTCAACGATCGAAACATTTTGTTCATTATCTAATTCTTAAATCAAACCTGCAGAATTCTGGTCAATCCTACCATTCCCTGAAAGGTTGTCTGACATTTTGTCCTTTACATTTATGTGCCCCGTGCATTTGTGTAGATATTTCTGCAAAAGCTTTTTTCGTCATATCTCGAAACTAATGAATTCTAATAAAGGTGGCACGGCTGTACGTGCACTTCAGTTCATTAGGCTAGTGTTTATGGTATTTTAAGATACGTCAAGTTGAACAAATAAATCTTATCGTTCGCCAAGAATGATCCCTGTTCTTTCAGATCAAACCTGATTTACACATTCCGAAGAAGCGTATTGCATTCAAGAATCACTTACCAGCAATGCNGATTGACTTCATCTCCACCCAAATGCATCAATCTATCCGGAAACAATTTTCGTACCTCGAGGAATAGTTTGAGCATAAACGTATAGGTGAACTCCGCGGTCGGATTGATCGGTCCTCGAGCAGCACTCGGCTCGCCGCTGGATGAGTAGCACTCGGTCAGCAATTTCGGATAACCCTTTCCCCAAGCTTGCGTATGGCCTTGAAAGAAAATAGAACAGGTATGATGACAAACAATGGTAACAAAGCAGAATCAAATAAATGATACCATTAGTCTTTTTGTGCGTTTTGATACCAATAACTTGTCAACAAAACGATTTTATTGTCATTTAGTTAGTTTCTTGGATAGTGTTTTGGAGCAATTACAGAAACTGATAGATGAACCCAAATATTACCCACAGGTTCATTGGTTATAATGGTTTTCTGTGATGCTTTTTAATCGCTATCCGATACGTGCATTTCTTACATCTAACGCAAAGTTCGTAAGTTGCTTAAAATTTGCCTTTGGGGTGCATAAATCGCTTCTTGATTTGGCTTAACTGAGAGTTATCTACTTCAAGTCCCACATTTCGGTTGCTTTGTTGACAAACGTATTCATCTTGTGGAAGCATTGCTTACAGTGAAGTGAGATATGCGCAGCACACTCTATTGCTACCTAAGACTCGGTTTAAAAATAGGATGAAAACCACTCTGGATCCAGAAAACTGATTCAATATTATTTCAAGCTATAGTCCAAATTCTTATGTATGAAAATTATATCTTTGTGTACTGTGAAGAACTGAGCAGCAGCATGATGTCTACGCTGCATCAATACCTGACTGTGTGCTCTTCATCAGTCTGATTCTTTCATAGTCGAATCATATCTTCTACATAAATGCCATGTTTTCCGGATGGCTATGAAATACAGCTGCCTCCTTTCTTACACACCTAATCACTCATCACTAGTGATTCTACGTTTTCTGGTTCTACGTTTTTCTGATCATGGAGATCAAGCACATTGATGTAACTAACGTCTGCAATCATTTCAGAATGCTTTTATCGGAGACCGTAGAAGTGACCTTTTTCCCGCGGTTGTGCTCTGACGTGAGTGGTATTCACCTACTGGAACTGAATAAGCACCGTTTGACAGCTCAAATTATGAAAAGTGACTCTTAAATGTTCCATACAAAAATTGGAAAGTGATGGTGGTGGCGCAGTGGTTTAGTCGCTGTCACCGGCATGCTTTAGACCCCGTGATCCGAGATTCAAGCCCCGACATCGCTAGCCAACTTCAGTGGTAGACAGCTTTACTGTCGCCTGGTTCTGTATCACGCCTGACCTAGAGGGGCGTTGTGTGGTTTGCTGCTCCAAGTTCAGGGCCTTTGGTTGCCGGTTGTCATCATTGAACAGTAGGTATTCGTGACTATGGGGTCCATCACATACTGGTGTGTAATAAAAAAGCCACTCTTGAATCACATTTACTTTTGTGATCACAGTTTCGACGAAACTATATTCTCGGATAGCAGTGATCGGTATGGTGTACTTTCTAACACTCTAATACCGTGCTCATTTTTATTAGTTCCAGGAGTTCCAGGAGATATCTCAAATAATACTCGGTGCGATCAGGAGCCAAAATAAATGGCTGGGCAAAATGGCGCACAACAGAGACGTCACACTCATCCTATCCGGAAGCAGCCACTGCGTGTTACTGAACTCTTACGGAGCTTAGGCTCTTTACCTTCGGGCTGTGCGCTGCTTTTCCTCATGCAGAGACAAACTTTTGAAATTTTCGAATGACGTGATTTTTATATTAAGGAAATTACAAGTTTATTAACAATTTTCATGAAAAATGCCATTTTCATTAGAGGAAAACATTGGAGAGCTTGAGCACCATTGATGAAATACACTGCTTACATCTGGCGTAGAATAACATTATAATCAGGGACTTTGAAAATCGCTTGGCGTTATCGTATAACGTCCAGTCACCCGATCATTATACTGCTACGTATTTGGCACTAGTCACTCGAACTCACAGAGTTATGCGATCATAAATCAAGTAGTGTTCGGACGTATGATGTAAACAGTTCCTTCTGTCCAACATTCTTGCTACCTGCACAGACTATAATCACAAAGTAATAAGTACACGATTGATTTTCTGAGCGTATTGCCATTGGTTCAGCCCGAAATAACCCATTTTTCATTCTAGAACCTGATGTATTGATTGATTCACTCGTTCAACACCAGAATGGTCCCATGCTTCTCTATGAAACAGGATGAAATTTCCACGGCAAGTAAACAGACTACATTTCAACCGTGTAATCCCCAGGGCATCCATGAATAGTTTGTGCATTTTCGCAGCCACCTCACATATGGTACTCAACTTCAAAATAATGGAGGAATGAAATATCGTCTACATATTTAAAACGGTCTCAGTCTTATTTTTCTCAGTTTGGAAGTTGGTGTGAGGGGAGAAAAGTGTACTGACAACGTGAAATAGCACCTGGTCAATTGCCGTTCATGCGCATGTACCAGTGTTAGCTTAGGAGAACGCGATGCGGATTGGGAGAAGAATCACAATCAACATGAAGAATGGGTCCTAAAATATCTTATCAATTACAATTATAACATTTTGAAATAACCTCAAGGTTTATGTATGAAATAAAAAATATTATGAGATGAATGTGTTACAACAGTGAAACTGCTGCACCAAAAAGCTCCAAATCTGCCCTGGAATAAGATGATAAAATTGTCTTGACCAACTGAAGATCAAATGGGCCTAAGATTACGTCTCGAGCAATGAAGAATGAGACACAGTGTTCTTTCGTGACTGAAAACTGTTCAACGTTTCAACGATCTGAACTAAATGGCATACTGTTGGCACGGCCTTATGAGAGAATGTAAGGGTCTTAGTATTCATGATGAATCCATTTTGATCTAACGTACATTGGTTTCTGTCAGAAACCTTCAGTCGGCTGTCCTGGAAGTCATCCGGATGGTACAGGCATAAAAGAAAAACATGAGTGAAAAACTAGGGTTATGATACTCCTGTCATCTTGGGAGTAAATGACAAAAATAAAACACTCCAATAGGATAGCCATTCGATTCCCATCTATCATCTTCGATGATCTGTTACAAAAACGAAACTCCAGCCTGGGGGTTTCTGACTGTATGGTGTTGATTGGAAGAACGGAGGATCGTGTGAACAAGTACATAGTTCGAAGGATGTTTCTTGCAAAACAGTTTGTGAACAAATCAGGGTCCTGTATAAAACTCTCGCTGGGATAAGTGAGAATGTGTAGGTGTTTATAATAATATTCTGTGCACAGTTCCCTAGATTTACCTAAAACCTGGGTAGTTAGCTTCACTTTACCTATTTCGATGGTGGGGATGCATTAATTATATTGTGAACTCCCATTGGTCGGTTTGGTGTGGCTTGGATGAACCTGGTTGACCTGCCACGTTGTGTGCCTTCGGTATCACTGATCAACACACAAGTAGAATGTGGACAGTTTCAGCCCGAAATTCGTGTTCACGTGTGTTCTGTACTAGTCGGATACATTAGACCACACTATCGAACACACGGACACACACACGATAAGCATTTAAGGCTACAAATACATTTGATCAATATGGCCACCAAAATCGACATCCTTAAACCACCGTCATCTGGTATTGTCATTTTCAACACTAGGCACGATTACACTCAGTTTTGAACAGATTTGCGGCGGTTAGTCATGCCACCAAAGCTCCCCGTCCGTTTTATCTACAGCTAATAGTCCAAACTGCATGAAACAGAATGAATGCGTATTTAAGTGCCACCTAGAATATTTTCAAGGTCTACTCATGCGTGGAATGTAGAGATTAGCCATCTGAAAATTCATACTACATAGATATTCCATGTATGGTATTATACTATGGGAAAATAATTGAGAATAAAATGATCAAAACCGCCTTAAAAGATATGAGTCCGGTGAAGTCAACCAGTTTATTCAGTTCCCTGCTTTAACAGCTTTTGATAATCTATGACACGTGCGGCACCGCCACGACATTCCCATTTCCCTTAAGAAAAGAGTGTGTATCATTTTGGCTCGTAGGATTCTACTTCAGCGTTGCGACAACTCTCCCCCCCCCAAGCTGAAGATGCTAATAGACTTTCTTTATTCAACCGCCAATGTCTTCGAAACAGTGTTCGTGTCTGGTGGGAATATTGAACGAGCAATAAAGCGGTTCGTTGGAGCGTGTAGAGTGCTCATGGTCGTTCTCTAAAACAAGTAATCGCTCTTCGTTGCCTACGATGGCTGGGTCGCTTTTTTCGCATGCCTTCGCATCGCCTTCCTCTCCGTGCTCGGCAAGGTTGGAAGAAAAGTCGTGGCAGTTAAACCATGACCTGGAATGGGGTATGACGACGTTAGCTTCAACTTTGTCTTCCGTTAGTCCAGTCCTTCTTCCAAGCTGGGTCTAAACTTTTTTTCGAAAAGTCTACAGCAAAATAAGCCATAATAACGTTGTTCTTGTCCTTTTGAGCCCCGGTAATTGCTTGTTTTCCACGGAATTCTTTTGTGTACCCCAACCCTACTCTTTCTACTAGTACTGTTGTTGCGTCTGTGTTGTTGTCTATGTTGAGATGGCGACAAAGCATTATAGTTTTCAAAATGCTCCATTACACAATCAGCAACAAACATTTTAATTACTCAAAACAGAACAGGACTAAATTTAACTGGACGTGACGGAATCACTTAAAGTCACCTTTGTAAACGGGTGAACTGATACCATATTTCCAATACTAGGCGCCCTAGGTTTTGTAGAACATTCATTTGTATAAATTAACTATTATTTTAGGTGAGTGATTTCCCAAGTCAGAGTCTATGAATGGACGTTGGCTTCCCCGGGAGATTCATTATTACGCAACG